GTATGTGTGTTGGAAAAAATGTACATTGCTTCAAAAATCAAGGAAATGTGTGTGCTTGTTGGTTCTCACATCAAATTTAAAAACAGGTTAGAGACGCTAGAGTTCAAACATAACATGTTTGCTGTGATTGATATTGATTGAAGCAGTTGAGAAATCAATTTAATAGAAACAGGTGTGCCTCCACACAATGTTCAGCAAAATGAGAGTTGTTGGAAAGAAATTACTGCATGCACTACTCCCCGCGAAGAACTAAAATGTCACTGAACAGTATCCTAAAGCTGCCACGCAATCAAAATCTGTCCTACTTGCTGTATGACTGTCTGCTATTTGCTACAGCTAAAAGGCAGCCGCATTGCAAGCTGCGGACCATTTTGACATCATCAGTAGTGGACGGGGTTTCAGCTGGGGCTTTCAAATCCATTTGCAGTGGGTATGGAGCATGGGGGGGTCAGAAAACTGAAAGAAGAGTAAAGAGACCAGAGGGCTTGCTCATCTGTATTGTCCTTGCAGAAATAATTAATTTTACTTTTTTTGGCTGACTCTCGCCCTCTCTTACCTACACACCAAATTATCCATTAATGAAATCCTCCTCCACAGTGGGACTAAAGTGAGCAGAGTGCCTAGAATCTGCAGATTGGCTAATCAAAACCCCATTATCTTCAGGGATCCTTGGCACCGCTGGCTTTCTTTGATCCCTATTTTACTTTTAACGTTATTTTTATCCAAACTCATCTGCCTGTTTATGAATGTAAGGCACATAAGAAAACAAGGTCGGCTCTCCGCCAACCAGTCAAATGGGCCGCGGTGTGCGAATGTGCTTGTTTGTTTTTGGAATAAAGAAGTAATCACTTTTCATTGCCCTCTGGAGTACGGAGCAAGATAAAGAGAGCGTGAAACAGGTCTATTGAACATGTATTATCGCCTCAGCAGCCCACGCGGCCAGGAAACTATTTCTCATACTGTCCCCATAGAGCCTCCCCTCCGTTTGTTAAAGTGTTTCTGCAGGATGCTCCTGTGGTCCCGTGATTGAATGCATTAAGGGAAAGTATAAATCTTAGTTTACTCTGTGGCTCTCGCTTGTTTTGTAAGGTCGGGACTCTGCGGTTCTGTGGCAGTACAGAGTTTGCTGGTGAGCTTTGGGCTGGAGTGGAGCTTCACCAACCAGTGGGCAAGAATGATGGATCGGTAGCTGGCGTCCAGTACTTCAGCTGCCCAAATAAACATGGTAAGAGTATTAATGGAAAAGGTTTTCCCGTATGATAGTGACTTGCAAAGAGTATTGTTAAAAACTTAGTTTACCAACATGTTAACCAGGCGCAAAAAAATATCATGTCATGTCTGTTAATCCCATTTTTGTCTTAACCAGCTAACCAGACTGTGATATTTGAGCCCAACCAGATAAATATTGAGCGTAATGTTTACTAACTAGCTAATCTGGAGCAATATAAAAAGTCAAGCAATAATGCATGTCTTATTTAATTGTTGTCTGAACAACTGATAAGTGAGGGAAAATGTGGTAAGTGAGGTATGACTGTATTTGAGCATAACTGAGTTTAATGTTTACTAACTATTTACTTACACAGTAGTCAAGGAATCATGCCTTTTCTGTGTTAATGTTTTTTTTGTTTGTTTTTTGTTTTTTTTTTAATAACCAGCCATGAATATAGCAGTTGTGATTTGACAATATGTAAGGATAACTAGATAACTAGCAAGCTTAATTTTTAGTAACTAGCAAATCAGGCACAACAAATCACCAAGGAATGAGTCATATCCCTTCCATAACCAGCTACAACTTTGACAAGTGTGTTATGGTGATATTTGAGTGTAACTAGCTAACTAGTGATGTAATGTTTACAAACTAGTAAACCAGATGCAACATGATAGAGCACCAATTAATCAAATATTTTGTGTGCGTTAATCTGAATTTTTGTCTTAACCAGCCACATCTCTGTTGTAATATGATGATATATAAGCATGCGTAGTTAACTTGTCAGCATAATTTCATTAATCCAGTGGTTCCCAAACTTTTTCTGCCGGGCCCCCTTTTTTTAGAGAAAAATATTTTCAAGCTAACTGAATTTTCAGCATCATTACTCCAGTCTTCAGTGTAACATGCTCCTTCAGAAATAATTTCAATATGCTGATTTGCTGCTCAGTAACCATTTCTGATTATTTTAATGCTGAAAACAGTTGTGCTGCTTCATATTTTTGAGGAAACAATTTTTTTCACGATTGTCTTATGAATATTTGAAATTGTCCTTTGTGTCAGAGCGCTGGAGTTTGTCAGAAATAGAACGGGGCATCAGTTTACTGTCATCCACTGTTCACTGAACATCACTGGGTTCTATTTGCTTTTGTCACATCGCGCCACTTGCGTCTGGTGTAGACACGTTGTTTTGGTGTTTGTGAATCTTAAGTAGAGGCGATGAAAGTCGAGTCGAAGTCGACTAGTCGCTGATGACGTCATTAATGAACAAATAAGTCTGGAGCTGTGATAAACACCTTGTGCACAGCTATGGCATTTGACACAGCGCTGCCCACATGGCTATTGCTCCTATAATAGCTCATTTTTAACAGTTATTTTGTCTTTGAGTCGTTAGGTTTCTCACAGATTTCTGCTTCTTTTAAATCGGATACAGATAAAGTAGCACAGTAAAGATTACATTCATATGAATGCATTAGTGAGAGTGATTGCGTGTCTAGAATTAATTCTACCTGGCAGCATCTCTCTACTAGTAGTGAAGCTGTGGGATTTAGTTATTAAAAATATATGCTTGAACTTTTCAGTTTAAAGCTATTTTATTGAGAAATCACAGAACAGTGTTGACAATACATTTCCGTGCTGAATGATTCTGTGTGCGCACGATGTGTGCGTTACAGTGCAGCAGTGCATTAGATTAGAATGGCGGTTAACTTACCTGTACAATAAGCTGTTTAAAACGTGCATTCTCCCGTTCAATATCGAGCATCCAGTAATTTAATATCACATGTCTTGTGGAGCGCTTTCAGAGTATGCATTTATTTGTCATTTTAACTGTTTGGAAACGTAGCGTGAATGTGGAAGTTCTTCAGATATTTCTTATCCTGTTGCACCCTCTATAGGACCAGCAACTAGTCGACGTCAAGCTTAAAGCGTCATGGCAGAGCATTGAAGTCGACTAGTCGATTAGTCGGTGCAACCCCTAATCTTAAGTATATTCATAATCTGCTACATTTACCTGGCACTGGAAGTCCTTTCACAAACTTGTAACTTACATGCTTAGAGCAGAACCATGCATCGTTCATTTATATTTCTACATGGCTCCCTGCAATACAACTCTGATTCTTCAATCACGCCATCTAGTGGTCTGTTATTGATACAACCACAACTGCTACAACTGATAACGGAGCAAAATTATCTGCTGACTGTACACTATTCCTCAGCCTTGCCGCACCCCGTCTAATGTTCATATATGTAACATAAATGTATGTTTGTGTGTTTGGTCTTGGCGGAATAGCTCTGCTACGCTGCTGCTGCGTCAGAGCACGTACCGAGCCTTGCTACTGCCAATTCTTCCACAGACATGCTGCTGTGTGCATGTAAAAATACTGCTGCTGCATATGTAACATATGCAATAACTCCCTTATATAACATACTTGAAATTACCGCGTAGCAGATCTATACAGGTGGAGGGTTTCTGAAGTGTTCTGCAACTGCTATAACAAGCACTAGCCAAGTATTTGAATGTTGAGCAGCAAGCTCATTGACTGCTGATGTGAAAATCAGCTGTACCCTATGGATGATGATGATTTAATTATATCAAATTGAGTTAGAACAGCCTGCGCCATCTAGAGTTCCATGACATAACTTTGTATTTGGTGATACCTAACCCTGTTTTTCCCTATTTATTTTTTATATTAGTTAGATATTTCTCATTTAAGCATTGTCTGTTTTCATGTTTTTTAGTACAATTTAGGGCTTGCCTTCTTCTCTCTTCTCAGTGGCTAACAAACTAATTTCTCTCGGACCCTCTCCAGGAATCTTCGCCCCCCTTTCTAAAGTCAGCAAGCTCTCGGAACGCCGGAAAAACAGTCCCCGCCAGCCCACCGCTCCTGTCCCCCACCCTAGACGGATTGATTTGGCACGGGTCACATCCAAGGTCAACACAGGTACATCTCTCACTGTCTTTTGTGTTGCACTCTCCCAGTTGCTTAATGATCCTCTTTACAGCTCACAAAATATCAGGAGAAACCCAGTGGCCACCACAGACTCAAAGCTAATTACCATCCCAGAGGACCTGCTTGATAAATAAACTAGCACAAGTGTGAACAGCGATAGTGGTGATAAAGCAGTTGGCGGTGTCACTTTATTCTGTCCCCTTCGGGTTTGTAGAGACAATAAAAAGCCATGTGAGCACTGAAGAAATGGAGGAATCATTGAGGGAGGTAATGTCAATTGTGTGCCATTACAGTGTTCACCCCAGGGCCTGTTTATACAGATGTGACACCCACCGATGTGTGGAGTGAATCACGCTAACGTGCATAAACTCTGCTTTTGTCACATATTCAAATGAAAGAGGACAAATGACTCATTTAAAGTCTTCCTGCATTATCATACATGACAAAAAAACTCAGAGGGATTTCGTACAATTGAAGTTGACATGAAATACTTTTGGGAATTTGTCCTGTTGAGATACACTATACTCATTTTAAAATAATTTTAGAGATTTATCAGAGCAATTTAGCTAATTTCTTAATTATTTGTACTGTTTTTGTGACTTTATATTAATTACAATAATACATGGAATATCTATACTTACATTTTTATTCCAGTATAATGCATGAGTGGATCATTGCATTATTCACTCAAATAATTCATTTAAAATGTATTCAGGAACTAAATATCACTACTTTGTATTGCTCTGAGACATGCAGTGGTTGATCCTGCTTTTGGAACTATTTTTGTTGGCAGAGCAAAAATAAACTAATTGACAGTTCTTTCAAAAAGTATGTCATCCAATATTGTATTTTTCTTTTTATTGAAATATTTTATTAATCAATTTATTCAAATATTGTTAATTATTATTATGGATTTTCAGAACAACATCTCTTGCTGTTATGATACTACTTGTATATTCATCATTAATTATTATTTTCATATCATCATATTCTAGCCTACACTACAAGACCATTTGAAATGAAATACAGAGGCAAAAATGTTAATAAAAGTAGCGAAATGCCTCAAATAATCATGACCAGTGGCAGAACCTAAGATATTTTAGTCTGAAATTGATAAATAAATAAATAAACAAGCAAACAAACAAACAGATGAATGAAATAATGAATTCTATATACAAATAAAATATGTTTAAACTACTGACAAACATACCCCCCACACACACAGTGTTAAGGGCATCAGTTTTAAAGGGGGAATAACAATCTCATGTTAATCTTGAGTACCTATAGAGTAGTACTGCATCCCTCATATCTCCAAAAAGTCTTTAGTTTTATCATATTTATAAAAGAGAGATACAGCTCCTGTTTTTTCCCCGTAAAAGCCGAGCTCCTGGAGGCACGCCGTGGGCGGAGCTAAAGATTGACGAGCACTTGGGCACCGAATGCCAACAAAACAAACATTTGATGCCGTTTCACTTACCATCTGCAGTTCTGAATCATGACCGGGATCTTTTATTGCTGGGACCGCTCCATCTTTCAGTATCAAACGATGGGCAAATCCAGCATCGAACTGGACCTTGTTTATAAAACGTTTGTCAACAAACACACTTGTGAAACTCCGTTGCTGCCCCGGAAAAACAAACTGTATCCACTGTTTACATAATGCTGGGTTCTTTAGGAAGCTGAACAAAGTTACCTTTCCCTTACAACCTAAAACACACTTCTTTGGATTGGAGACATGAATTGGATTCCCGAGCAAGTCCCCTGCAGCGCTGCCGCCGGATGAAGCACGTTGATGGATGCGATCTCGCTCTGGCTCTCACTCTGGTCGATGTGTGCGTGGATGCATTCTTCAGGGAGAAATGCCCATATAAGGAGTTCCACCCTCGTCTACGTCATGAAGAGCCATGATCGAAAAAAAACCTCTCCGATACTTGTATGAACCCGGAAGTAAGATTTTTGGCACAGAAATACTCCGTCATATGTCCAAATTGTTTTTTGAAACTTTGTCCATGCTTAGCATGAGAATCCAACCCTTTAACAGTGTAAACAACTCTGAATGCATGAAACAGCATTGTACCCCCCCTATAAGTACAATATACGTAACACACCTAAATATCCTGAAACCTGCTGAGATTCTCATTTCTCATAATATACGTCTACGAAGAGAGGTAGTGTTCCCACGCAGACTTACATTAGTGCACTAATGCTGATGAACAGCAGTTCCTCTCATCACCTCTGTTACACTAGAGACTTTCCCTTGCTCTGTCTGTGTGGCCTGCTGAGTGTTGGGTGGTCTTTACCAGATTGGTCTAACATTGTGATCTGTTTTCCTATTATCTCGGAGACAAGCTTTTCCACTGTGTCTTCCTCCAGGGCTCAGGTATTGTCCACTCAGACAGCTAAACGCAGACATATGGATCTCAATAGCTTTGTGTGGCAATAGCACTTTTAAGAAGAGCCCTTAAGGCATTGTAATACGACAAATGCTTTTCTACTTCCCCTTTTAATTTTTATTTTTTCGTTCCCTTTTTGCTTTTTATCATCTGTCTTTGTGTCTGTTTTTTGCATGTCTAGAGGCTCATGAGAATCTGGTGGCAAAATTTGCTTAATTGTCATGAAAATGTCACAATGCAAAAATTATTAATGTCTTAAAGTGTAACTTTAGTGTTTATTAACTATTTATGAATAATGATGATGATGATGATGATGATAATAATAATAATGGCTATTTCCAAAAAATAGTTATTTCTAGTTTACAACTGTATGCCAGAATTTAAGTTAAATATCCGATTACAAAACAATGTATTCATAAATGTATTCATAATTAATACATATGTAAATAATTGTGCCTAAAGAGTTAACCAAGTAAATAATAATAATAATAATTAATTATTATTATTATTATTACTATTATTAAATTATTGTTTTCCGTTAGCAGTGATTATTTTAGTATCATTGAGATATAATTATAACATTAAATATTTTGAATTTGTTTTTATTTTTGTATTTTCCATTTTCATTTTCATTTATCATCATTGTCA